AACTGAAAAATAACAATGAGCCTGAGGTAAGAAACAGTATTATGACTGGAAACTAGGAAGAAGAGTTTGTTGTCAAGAAAGGTTAATATATCCTGAAATAACTTACCAATAGAAGTTGTCTAAAGTTTCACATAAAGCAGTTTCACCTGTTTGGGATAGTTTATCACTATCCTAGGGTAAAGCGATTAAACCAAGTTGACGTTTTCAGTTCTATGAGTCTATCGTGATTACACACCACAAGATAGTGATCTTTTGAATATTAAATTCTCTTATGAGGAATAAGTAAGTTTTGGATAAACTTTTCCCTTTTTAAGGTGCTCTAGTGGCACAGTGCCTAAGGCATTTGACTGCTAACCAGAAGGCTGTGGTTCAAACCCACCAGCTGCTCTGAGGAAGGAAGATGGAGCAATCTACTTCTGTAAAGATTTACCTCCTTGGAAAACCAATGGGTGTTGCTATGAGTCAGAATCGACTAGATGGCAGTAGGATGGTTTTTGTTTTTTCCCTTTTGGGACCAGATCATTACGTTACTTACCTTGCAGATCATATATTCGCAATTAGAGTAGTAAATAGGTGTGTAATGTGAGTTCTAATTGTCAATGTATTATCTGGGAAATCTGATAATCAAAAGAACACAGAATATCAACATGAATAACCTCTGCAGTATTAGACTTAATATCGTAAGTAGAACACTGATTCAGATGTAGAAAAGTCTAAGGAATCCACCATACTGCTTTAATCTTCACGTTCCCTTCCCATAACCCAATCTTGTTACCTGAGCACTGTCTGTATCACGAATTCCTAATACATAAGGATTTCCTTCACATATCAATTTTGGTTTAGCTCCAGCACACAGGCAGAGCTTCTTATATATGTATTGGTTGCCGTCTTCTGTTAAAATGCACTGTAAAAACATACAGCAATGAGGGGGTAAGGAAACATACTTAGACATGGTTACAATTTCACTTTAAATTTCAAATTCAATAAAACAAAAAGCAAAAAATTATATTAAAGCTGCCTTTGTTATAGCAATTATAAAGCCAACTCAACATATGAATGCATTCTGTAATCCAGTGATTCTAAATTATTTTAGGGTCATGAAACCTGTGAGAATGTGATGCAAACTAGACCTTCTTCCCTGGGGGGGAAAAAGGTACATTCACACAGTTAGCTTAAAACTTCAGGGGATTTCATGATGTTTGGAGAGGGATACCAACCTCAGTTTAAAACTCCAGCTTTTTGAAAATTAAACTCAACTATTCTCATCATATATGAAGCAGAACTTGATGAACATCTCTGATCTCAATGGAAGTTACTGTAAGGAGCCACCTAAGCTCCTTACCCTATTGATTAGCTACTGCTAAATTTTTGGAAGTAGACATGAAAGTAAAACACATTATTTCAAATTCAACTAAAGAATATAAAGGAAGTGTAAGAAACTACACACATGTATTTCATGAAGGATACTTTTCAACTGGTAATGAGAACTGATTCAAATGGCCTAATATCTAAGTTCCATCACAATTCATCATTGTACTTTTTACAGCCCACCTCAATTTACAAAATTAATTGACGTGGAAATTACCATGGACTGCTAAAAGAACTAACAGATCTGTCCTGGAGGAAGTGCAGCCAGAATGCTCCTTGGAAGCAAGAATGGCCAGACTTCGTCTCACCTATTTTGGTCATGTTGTCAGAAGGGACCATTCCCTGGAGAAGGATGTCATGCTTGGTAGGGTGGAGGGTCGACGAAAGAGGGGAAGGCCTTCAATGAGATGGATTGACATGGTGGCTGCGATGATGGGCTCAAGTATAGCAGGGATTGTGGGGTTGGCGCAGGATCGGGCAGTGTTTCATTCTGCTGTGCATGGGGTCGCTATGAGTCGGAAATGACTCGACAACACTTAACAACAACAACAACAACTGTGTTACCACTGTAAGTATTAGCTATATACTCTGGATTTTGGATTCATATTTATTACTTTTTTTTCTTTTAAAAAACCCCACTACTTTTCTCACCATTTTTCCCTCAAGTTATTTGTTTCAAATATGGTGCATATGTGTTTTCTAAGGGAGAATTCATGAATTAAAACTACCTTAGAGAAACAACCACAAATCTTACTTTCTATTTTGCCTAAAGCTCATCTCAGGATCTTGTAAAGATGACATCTGACAACAGCCTTATTCGTTCTCAAGTCCAGTGCAGTCTTGCTGAGTTTATAGAAGGAATCTTCCATAAATCTGGGCCATTCTGTCTTCGTCTTAGTTCAGGTCTTGTATCATCTCTAGGGTACTGCAACTGTCTTCTAATTTAGTTATTGGTCCTGAGACACTCTCCTCAACTCTGTTCATCCTCCATATGCTTTTATACATGTCTTTCTAAAACAAAACCTATCCTATCACTCCTATCCCACTTAAATTTCTTAACTATTTCTCTACTGATTATAACAAATCCAACATCTTAGCATGACAGAAAAAGTTCTTCCCAATTTTATTTACTTATTTCTCTACCCTTGTCTGCTAATATCCTTTACTTTTTCATACTCCAGTCCTTTTGACATCTTCTCTACAGCACATGTTCCTTCTCCTTCCTTTAGGTCTTTGAACACACAATCCCCATTCTGTAATGTCCTCTTCCACATGGAAAACTCTGCATTCACCCATCTTATTATAACCTAGCTCAAATATTATCCCCTCTGTGAAGTCTTCCCAAATCCCTAATATCAAAGCTCTGATCATATTTTAATGACAAGTGAATTTCACATGTCAGTATAATTATATATCACATGTCTATCCCTCTAATACTTGAAAGCTCCCTGGAGTAGGTACCTTGTATTATCCCTATCATATCCCAGTACTTACTGCATGTGGTGGTTATGTTTGTGTGTCAACTTGGCTAGACCTGGTTGAGTAGCTGGGCAGCTAAATGTAGTTATTATCCATGGTGATATTGGTAATTAACTCCATGGTGGAATGTACTGGAGTAGCTGCTTTAGGGATGTGGTCTGCTTCCCATACATAAGAAACAGCTTTGGGAATGGTCTCTAGTTTACGGCACGCTCAAACCCTGCATGTAGCCATGTCGGCAGCTGCCATGCTCTGCTGACCTTGGGACTTTCAAGGGCCTTGAATTAATGGCCTACTGTGTGGTTTGGTAACATCGAGACTGTGCTATTTTATTTATCAACCTTGGGCTTGTTAGCCTCAGTAGCCAGCAGCTGTCTGAGTGAAGAAAAGCATCTAGCTTCAGTGGGCCAGGAGCAGGAGGCAGAGCTGAGGCCCCAGGCTGAGGGGCTTTTATAGCCCCTTAGAGCCTGGCACTTTGAACTCTGACTTACAGCCTCTGAACTGTAAGAGAATAAACTCCTGTTTGTTAAGGCCATCCCATTTGTGGTACATATTCTTGTCAGAGCGGCACTAGGTAACCAGGACAATGCAGTATACAGAACACAGTGAGCACTATATAAACATAGTGCTAATTTCATGTGTGAAACCTAAAATGCTGAAACAAACTATGTTATACCAATAAAATCACAATAAAGTATAATTTTTTCCTAAGAATAATGGAAATCCATATATGTTAGGAACTTAACTGGTGAAGCTGGTGGTAATAGTAATGGTAGAAGTGGAGTCAATGAAGGCAGGCAGAGAAGCTCACTGAGATTTAATAATGGAAAATGTCACTAAGAAAAAAAAAAAAGTTCTTACATGCTCTTCACTCTTCAGTTGCTTTACTCCAGATTCTATAACCTTAATGTTGGGAAAGCGGTTTTCTAACATGGTGCGAGGTTGTTCTTCAACATCAAATTCTTCTAATATTTTAGAAACCTGTATTAAATCAAAGAAAACTACATATTCAAAAAAAGTATTTTCTTTCAAGAATCTTAAGTGATAAAAATACTTTCATTTGTTTTTATATACTAGTATTATATATAGGAGAAAGAGGACTAGACTCTGTAAGTAAGACTTGAACTTCTACTCCTGGGCAAGTCATGTAAGTAACTGAGCCTTCCTTAGTTTCCTGAGCTGTAAACTGAGAACTGAACTATAAAATGAGGGCACAAACTACTTATTTCCCCATAGTTGTTTTGAGGATTTAATCAAGCAGCTTTTTCCTTACCCTCTCTTTCTCTTTACTATAAAATTTTACTGTGATCTAGTCTTTGGACTCTTCTTTCCTCTTCTCCAAAACCATGACCATCCTGGACTCATTTTCTCTCCTATCTAGCTAAAATTCCATTGTGGATCATTTCATCATTTACTCAAACCCTTTACTATTTCCTTGCTCTCTTGTCCCATAATCATTAACCCCAGAACCCCAACTACAAATTAAACCACCCATTTTCTCTAATCTTATACTCAGGTTTCTCCTTAAACACTGCATGGAAATCCTACTATGTTTAGGGTCACTATGAGTTGGAATCTCAAAACTTTTGGTCTCAGGAGTATAAAATTCTTAGAAATTACTAAGGAATTTACTGAGAAATTACTGAAATCAAAGAGCTTTTGATTATATTAGGTATAGCTATTAATAATTACCACACTAAAAATTAAAACTGAGTAAAAAAAAAAAAACTAAGTGCTTATTGATTATGAACCCAATATATTGAACAAATACAATTTCAATGAAAAATAATTACATTTTATAAAATTCAATGAGAACAGTTATTTAAATTTCTTTTTTTAATGTCAATCTCTTTAATGTCTTGCTTAAGAGAAGAAAAGCTGCATATCTGGTTCTGTGCTCAAACTGCTTCCACAATCAAACTTTTCTAATATTTTTTTTCTTGAACATTTTATAGTGCCTTAGGTCAGAGTTTACACAACAAATTAGTTTTCCATTCACTGATTTATATACAAATCATTCCATATTCTGTGACATTGGTTGCAACCTCCACAACATTTCAGCAGTCTTCTTGTTTCCACCCTGCATTCCCTATTTCCATTTGTTTGGTTTCCCTGCCCCTTTCTCCCTTCTCATCTTTGTTTCTGGGCAAATGTTGACTGTTCTTGGAAGCACATTTCTCATGGGTGTTGTTTATTTTATAGGCCAGTCTATTATTTGGTTGGGAGGTGCTCTCTGGGAGTGACTTCAGTTCCACATTAGAAGAGTGACTCAGTCACAGGGGTTCTGCCAATCTCTATCAGACCAGTTTAAGTTTGGTCTTTTTTATGAATTTGAATTTTGTTCTACATTCTTAGCCCATTCTAACCAGGACCTTCTATTATGTCCTTAGTCAGAATGGTTTGTAGTGGTAGCCAGGTACCATCTAGTTCTTCTGGTTTCAGGTTAGAGGAGGTTGTGGTTAGTGTGGTCCGTTAGTGCTTTGGAATCATTGCTTCCCTAAGTCTTTAGTTTTTTTCACTCTCCTTTGCTCCAGGCAGAAACAGACCAATAGCTACATCTCAGATGGCCATTTACAAACATTTAATACACCAGTTGCTGCTACTCACCAAATGAGGATGCAGAAAGCTGTCTTTATGTATGATGTTATGGCAATTGATCTAGATGTCCCTAAAGACTATGGTCCTTAGCCTTCAAGCTCACTAGCTCAGTCTTGCCAGATGTCTGGTTATGTCCAAGAAGTTTCCATATCTGTACCCCCCTATGTGCTGTTACATATATGAATATACATACAGTACATGCAAATATGTATATAGAAAAATCCACAATCATACCTATATATACACACAGGTGTAGTCCCATATGACTGCCCACATCTGTTCAGCATACATATCTACTTATGTAGCTATTCATAAATTATTGTTTGTTATTACTGCTGTTGCAGGATTGTGTATGTGATAGTATTTACCGTTGTTGGTGGTGAAGTGCCATCAAGTTGGCTCCAACTCACAGTGATCCTATGTACAACAGAATGAAACACTGCACCAGCCGCACAATCCCTGCTAAGCTTTAGCAAACTTTGCAGCCACTGTGTTAATCCATCTCAGTGAGGGTCTTCCCCTTTTTCTCTGACCCCCTCATTTACTAAGCATGATATCCTCCAGGGCTCAGTTCCTTCTGACAATGTGACTAAAATATGTGAGACAGAGTCTGGCCATCCTTGCTGCTAAGAAGCATTCTGACAGATTTGTTCAGATATTCAGACATTCTTCTGTCAGTTCATGGTATTTTCAGTATTCTTTGCCAACAGTACACTTCAAACACATCAATTCTTCTGCAGACTTCCTTATTTACTGTCTAGCTTTCACATACATTTGAAAATATCATGGCTTGGGTCAGGTACACCTTGGTCTTCAAAGTGACATCTTTCCTCTTGAACACTTTAAAAAAGATCTTTAGTGGCAGATTTGGCCAATGCAATACTTCATCTGATTTCTAAATGCTGCTTCCATGGACACTGATTGTGGATACAAGTAAAAGCAAACCCTGACAATTTCAATCTTTTCTCCATTTATCATGATGGTGCTTACTTGTCCAATTGTAAGGATTTTTGTTTTATGTTGAAGTGTAATACATACTGAAGACTGTAGTCCTTCATCTTCATCAGTAAGAACTTCAAGTCATACTCACTTTCAGCAAGCAAGGTTATTCATTTGCATATTACAGGTTAATCAATCTTCTTCCAATCCTGATACTATGTTCTTCATATAGTCGAGCTTCTTGGATTATTTGCTTAGCATAAATATTGAATAAGTATGGCAACTCAGGCCCGCCCAGAGTAGGAAGCCGGAAGAGCAGGAGAAAGGGGATAAAAAGCCAGGAACCCGGAGAGAAGAGCAGTCAGCCCCAGGGTTACAGGTGAAGAGAGACAACTCAGTAACGCCCAAAGTAGCCAGTGGGAAGAGCAGGAGAAAGGGAATTAAAAGCCAGGAAGCCAGAGAGAAGAGCAATCAGACAAAGGGATTAGTTGAGGAGAGGAAACTCAGGCCCGCCCAAAGCAGCAGGACC